ATGTGTGGTTTGTAAAATGTCCCAAACATCCTTAGCTACCTCACACATAGATACTCTCCTAAATTCCTCAGAGGACATAGCCATAAACAATGCATATATGGCCTTGTTATTAAAGTTACAGCTATTCAATTGTGCTTTAGACCAGTTTTCTATGGGTGTGGGAGTGATTACACCATCTACTATGGTACTAGGCCAGACCAACCATTCACTACGCTCTGCGAGACACACTCATCCATGGATTTCAAAAATGTCCTTATTCTAACCTTCCAGTATGCATAGTTACTACCATAAAAGTGGGGCGACACATTCAACTAGGTACTCATCTAGACTATTTAAGATCAGGATACGATTTTAGGCTCTGATACCACTTGAAAAAAAAAATTGAACTAGAACGCTTAGATATGTTAGAAATTTCGACTAATGTGATACAATATCAAGTTCAAATTTTATGCGTTACCAAGTTTATGTTCTAGATTTCACTTTAACCAATTTGACCTTACGTGCAGAATTAATCTAACTAAAGCAACAGTCACTTTAATTAGTTGTCTAGGTGATTATTCATACAAGTCAATTAACCTATGTTGGAATACCGCAATTTGTATATTATGCAAAGCAGTAAATAACAAACAATATGATGACAGAGAAACCCCAACGTGGGTAAAACTTCGGGACCAAACCAGTTACCTCCACTGTACCAATTCAGCAAGTACAAGTTATACCAAACTCAGACCCGCTGTTCCAGTCTCACGATTTACTACTGTAGATACTTCTAGCCTTTTGCTAGACTTCCTGATCTACCTCCTGCAGCTCAATCTGCTGTCCACTACAACCTCCTGGTCCTTAAGTGATTGTATCACCAAGTGGAACACCAAGAACTGTCCATTCTTGTGCTTGCAACTGCGCCTCAATCCACCTCTCTCAATCCTCCAATGAGAGAGTCCCTTCCTTAATAGATTAAGGAAGTAATGTGTTTTAGGTTATGTAGATTCAATGTTTTTACCCAAAACAATGGCTGCCGAATCACAAGATTGATGTAGATGAAATCTCCAATTAATTGTACATTGGATCTCTTCAAAGATGTTATGAATATCTTTTGCAATAAAAGAATAATGTATCAACCTGCGAAAATTCGTGCTAGGGTTTGGGTATTTATATTTTAAGGTATTGAAGTGGTATGGGCTAAGTAAAATACTTCAAAAATGTGAAATAGGGTTTTTGCCGCATAGAAGTGTCACTCGAACGACATGCCAGCGAGAATCGAGCGAGAGGTATTTTGTTTTTTTCGCTTGAGCGAAATGCCAGGGAGAAATGAGCGATAGTCAGTGGTCGTCTGTATTTTCATCATAACTTTCTCGTCCAATGTCTGATTGAGGTGATTCAAGTTGCGTTGAAAAGCTAACTCAAAGGGATACAATTCGTTTGTAATAGCCTTGTCCAAATTCCAACGTTTTCTATGTGAAAAATGCATTGCAAATTATGACTAAAAATTCGGAACATATTTTGTACGGCTCTTTGATATCATTTAGACTTTCAATTGCATTTCGATGATCTTGTGTGATCTTCTTGGTCATCTTGGGCTCCTTTAACAACTTGAACACTAATTTACCTCATCTATACAAATTGCACCCTAAGTCCCTGACTTTTACACCAATGTTCAATTAAGTCCCTGACTTTTACACCAATGTTCAATTAAGTCCCTGACTTTTACAATTATACAATTTAGTCCATTTTGTTCACAGAATCGCCAATTACACTTTTAGACCTAACAGGATGAATTTCAAGCTTAAAAGTATATATTACCGAATCTTTTGAAATTTCACAATATTTAATGAGATTCTTATCGAATTTGTAAGAATCTATTCAAATCTACAAAATTCATTATAATTTATAATCTTTTAAAATTCATTAAAATGTTAATTGCGAACAAACCCGTTAACCAACACTTCACGTAGATTTATCCTAGACTTCTTTAAATCACCAATCGATTTGCATAATTAATAAAGCAAAAAAATAATAAAAATATATCAAGGAGTTTTGGAGGGCTACGGAC